AAGTTTAGGAATTCTTGTTACCTAATTTTGAACTAATGAAGCTAAGTTCAGTCTGGTACAGATAAGCTAGTGTAGCTAGGTTTAGTCTGCTACAGATAAGCTATTGTAGCTAGGTTCAGTCTGCTACAGATAAGCTGTGTAGCTAGGTTTAGTCTGCTACAGATAAGCTAGTGTAGCTAAGTTTAGGAATTCTTGTTACCTAATTTTGAACTAATGAAGCTAAGTTCAGTCTGCTACAGATAAGCTAGTGTAGCTAGGTTTAGTCTGCTACAGATAAGCTAGTATAGCTAAGTTTAGGAATTCTTGTTACCTAATTTTGAACTAATGAAACGATACATTTTGGAAGTGTTTCATATTGTTTTGTTCATTTGAAACTTTGATTATTTTCTCAACTGATTAAAGAGACACAAAAAACTTTAAGACAAAGCAGCTGCTCTACGGAAATCTTTGATAAAAACTAAATGTTATTGATATTCTAATTTTAATCCGCTTCCTTGCTTCGGTTAATCACTGCTGGAGACTTGTATAAAATTAGGGCTCTTTCTAAAGGCCTCACCAAGGGGTGACATCAGGAACATTAACCATTTACCAGCAGATTTTTCAGGGGCTGAAGTACTTCCGGGAAGGACCAAGGGTATGTTTAGTGTTACATGTAGAAATACTGAGGGTAAGTTCACTTAGTTTGGTAGAAATACTGTCGTTTAAAGTGCATTTACTCGCAAATTGCGGAGATTAAATTCGGAGTTCAAGGGTGGTCCGCTTTGATTTCACAGACTGGGTTAGATTCGTACAGCGTGCGTCCATTACTCGGACTCCCAGGTTGGTCCCCTTCTAAAATGATAGAATAGGGAGTATCGGCTTGAGCACAAGAATGAATTCTATATAACCTTAAAAGCCAGTTCCTTCGTATTCTCAGAACAGTAGCTAAAGAAGCTGAGATAGATACGGGACTAGTCTGAGTAACACTGAAAAGGTAGGTTTGGAGCTTTATCATTTGTTTTGATATTTTAAATACATCTTTTGATGTTTAAACATCTATTCAAATCGCCATTTTTGAATCACTGATTTTCTGTTGAAAGTGAATGTGGCAAAACTGTTAAAAAAACAAACAAGCACCGAAGCTACTTACATCAATCGTCTTGCATTGTAATATCGAAATGCGTGTAGAGTCATGTTGTCGGTATCGGAAGAGGGTTGTTAAATGTTTGTCTTATATGGATGTACCATTAAAAGCTGAACATTAGAAATTAGGTAATCATAAGAGAGTACCTGCCCCCACCCCCCAGCGGTATGTCTGCGGAGTTACAACGCTAGAATCCGGGTTTCGATACCCGTGGTGGGCAGAGCACAGATAGCTCATTCTGTAGCTTTGTGCTTAATTACAAACAGTGTACTTATACGCATGTAAATGAATAACTTACTCAACCATGAACATTTTTGTTTTTTAATTAACAGATGATGACACCTGTTTCTCTTGTGATCCTTTGTTTGACCTTGGCATCAAATGTTCTTCTCTTTCATTCCAATGCGCTGGACATTTCGGACCTAAAGAATTCTATGTCGGCTATGGAACGGACAACTTGTGGAACTCATCGCTCTGAAATTCATATTAGCAAAGAGGAACAAGATGAAGTAGGAAACATAGTGCGCACGTGCGAAGGAACAGTAGCTGTAACTAAATGCGAAGGAACTTGTGTTTCACAGATTCAACCGAGTGTGAAGACTCCTAGTGGATTTTTTAAAGTAAATACATAAAAAAAGCTTTATAATTTAAATATATATTTATTTTTTTACTTCTTCGTGCCATGAGAAATATTTTCACGAATGAATTTGTAGTAAAATTATAAAAATGACAGAGTTAATTACTAATTTTAAACTTTTTTCAGTAACAAATATAACGTTTAGCTAAATTAATGTGCGAGACGTGGCCTAGTGGTTAGAATACACGGGCGCGGTACAACAAAAGATTCACAGTTCGCGTCCCACTGCCGCACTTAAGGATGCTCCATAAGAGTAACGTCATATCCCGCTATTCGATAAGACAAAGAGAAGCTCGACAGTTGATTGTAGGTGCTGTTGACTGGGTGTTTTCCCTTTCGTTTGTCAGTTGAATTAGGACCGATTGCCTCCCAGTGGCACAGCGGTATGTCTGCGGACTTACAACGCTAGAAACCGGGTTTCGATACCCGTGGTGGGCAGAGCACAGATAAGCCATTGTGTAGCATTGTGCTTAAGTAGAAACAAACAAACAACTTATCTGAAACCCCCCAGTGGCACAGCGGTATGTCTGCGGACTTACAACGCTAGAAACCGGGTTTCG